CCCCAAAACCCCAAAACCCCAAAACCCCAAAACCCCAAGAGTCTGAAAGAACATTGAAAAATTCGAAAAATACAATGGAGAAGGAATAAGACACACGAAATACCTCGAAAACAGATTTGAGAGGCTTACCAGAGAGGTTTCGGGGTGATAATAGGCTGGGTGTTAAATTTTGGCTATTAAAATAGGTATATAAAAGGTATATAGCTTGAAAAAGAATGTTGACTTGAATTTTTCTAACACTTCTACTAAAATTCAAGAAAATCTTTCAGGAGCTCTTAGTTTACCCTCTCCTGCAACCTTAAGCTTATGAATGAGTAAAGTTACATTACAATCCCTCTTCCTTTTCCAGAATTTATCTTAGCATATTAACTTAAAATCGAATAAATTAATAATCCAGGCTTCGATACATTGATCTTTTATGGTTACGACCAAACTGTGAGGTCTTTGGTAGTATCTTCCTGTTCTGATAAGAATGATCTAGGACCTATGTCTTAAGTAAGCATTCGCTAGGCACATATTGGCAAAAGTTAAGGCTTAAATTACCTTCTTCCTTGGGATTCTGTCACAATTGTAGAAAGATGTAGTCTTGAGGTAATCTTCAATCAAGGCTACACATTATTCAATGCTACTTACAGTTAGATCTGCCCTTAATATTGGCATTTATCCTTCTCCGTTTGGTTGCATCATGAGATGTGAATATATTCCTGGACTTAACTGGTGCATCTACTGATTTCCGTGCCGGCTTTCTACTACAAATCAGCTTCCTCACTTACTCGTTTGGCCTCGATGAGGGGATCTTTATCTTTGCTTTTTCTTTCTTCTCACCATTGTCATCAAGAGTAGTGAAAAAGTCATCAAGCGAGATGTCTGACTTCTGCAGAGTCTTGTTCATCAACTGTGTGTCTTCCTCATCGACTGTGTCCTGACTGGAAGGCTTCCCGATCAAGCTATTTACTTTGAAAGACGCTTTATTTGCCATAGTAGTTCTTGAGTATAAACTTGCTGTCAATTTTATTTCTAGATGATAAAATTAGCCCTCATACCTTTTGCGAGGTATATGCTTAGTTACTACTGGAGTGAATATCCAGTCTATATCAGCATTCTTAGGCTCATTTTTGTCCGGAGTAGGTCCTTGACTAGGCCTCATAGATATTGTTTTCATCATTTTGGGAGTCGCAACTTGTGGCTAAATCATGAACATTAAATAATTTACCTCTAGACTTGCAACAGTTAATCTGCAATTATTAGCTTTCTTGGCAGGAAGCTTTGTACTCGACTTTTTTATCAACGCTATAGGGTTCTTCTTCCCAAGTATGTTCTTCACGATGCTAGAGAAATTTGGATTTTGTCAGTTATTCTTCTTTCGCTTAGATTTAACCTTGGAAATTTTGAAACTCTTCTTATTTCAGAGCTCGCCTTTAATCAGTTTACAGTTTTCCTTAAAGTGCTACAAATTAACAATAAATCACACACCTTTGAGTCACTTTGGAGGATGAAATCTATAAGGTCACGAAATAGAGCTTACTCTTGATTTTTCCCCAATTCGTCTCGGCCTGCTCACAGCTGGTCACCATCTCTTCAGTGCGATTTTCTGCATCGAAGTCAACATGCTCATGAGCCACTATGCTCTTGTTGTACGGGTTTATGTACATATTTATCTTCTTCTGCATCTGGTCATCATTGAACCTATTTAGTATATTTCACATAAAAATTTAGGGTAAGAAATTAAATTAGTGATCCCAGTATCTGGGCAAACTTAGCTTGCTAGAAGTCTAGGAAATTTTAGATCAAAAATATCGCTTATTTATGTCCAGAATTAAGATTTGGAGCTTCTTAAAGCATCTTTGAGTCCTCACTGCTCACCAAATTTATAGAAATATAAACATGGGTGTAAAACACGATTTGAGATCTAATGGGATTGATGATTTGGAATTTCCTACTTACCTCAACCGACTCGAATGAATTGAATTACGCCTGAAAGGGTTTACAGCAACTATATTGTGTTAAAGTAAATTCCAGAATTACTCTGCCTGGAACTCCTTTGATTAAAGCTGCCTTGCATACAAGATATTTTATTATGCTTCCCACTTGAAATCGTACTTCGAGGGGCAAAATCTGGATGGAAACTAACTTTAGTCATCCTCCTACTTGGCTTATTGTCTAGAAAATTATACCAAGGGGATACCTGTGACTTTCATATTTCTCAGATTTCAAGTTTTCAAGCAAGATAAGTTAAAGTTATTTTTCAAAAGTGACTCCTTGAAAGACTGGTACTCAAAAATATCCTTGAAATAGACCTTTTTAGACTCTATAGTTGATTTTAGAATGCTAAATTTAATACAAATTATGCTCCAAGGTATGTCATACTTCTGGTTCTTGGGTAAATTTTCATTGTTTTTATTAATAATAATACTAAAATAACTCTTTTATGCCTAAACAATTAGAGAGTTTAAAGAGCTGCTTTTACATCAAAAATTCATTGAAAGAATACAGGAAATTTCAGGCTAAATGGAATTCCCTTAGAGGGTATCAAGGTATCTCAGGTATGGATCTCCTAAATACCCTGCAAAAGAGATACTCAGCGGAGCAAGGCTAGCAACTAAGATGGCCTAATCAATAATCCAAGTAGGTATATTTCCCCTCTGGAGGAGTAGATAGGGAGCCTTATTACTCTTTTTCTCCATCTGGATGCTCATATTTGTATAATAATTCAATAGTATTTGATTATTTTGGGGTTTTGGGGTTTTGGGGTTTTGGGGTTTTGGGGTTTTGGGGTTTTGGGG